GTGGTTGAGTATCAGAATGTTCCATCTCATTTCCCTTTGGGGTTGCTGTAGGTGATCTGGAAGTCTGGTTTTGAGACTTACTTATGTGTCTTCTCATTTTGACCCAGGGCAGGGGGGTGCTGTTGGTGCCCACATGGCTCACCTCCTCTGATCTGGGAGAGGTGGGACAGTGGCTCAGAAGCCCCTTCCTCTGGGCTGGGAATGGACGGACAGATGGCAGCCCAGAAGCCCCTACCTCTGGGCCAGGAGTGGTAGGATGGACAGCAGACTAGAAGCCCCTTCCTCTGGCCTGGGAGCACTGGGATGGGGACTCAGAAGCCCTTTCCTCTGGGCCGGGATCAGTGGGACAGGACAGGGGCCCAGAAGCCCCTTCCTCTAAGCCGGGAGCAGTGGGATGGTGGCTCAGAAGCCCCTTCTTCTGGGCTGGGAGTGGCAGGAAGGATGGTGACCTGGAAGCCCCTTCCTCTGGGCTGGGAGTGGTGGGAAGCCCAGCAGCCCAGAAGCCCCTTCCTCTGGGCTGGAACTCCATTTTATTCTTAAGCTAACACCACTTCTAGCTTATGAACCTGGTAAACCTATCAAATACATAATATAAACTTTTCTTTATGGTCCAACTACATAATTTTAAAAATCATTAACTTTACTGGGTTGTAATATAACAATTTCCTAGAGGGATATGGAAATAGGTTGGAATTATTTTCACTTTATTCAATTAGAACCCTAAACCTGTTGTTCTTGCTTAGGTCTCATGAAAAATTTCCAAGGCCTAGAAATATAAGAGAAAGCAAGAAAATCATTTGTTGTCACTGTAAAATGTTAATAGTGTGAATAACTCAAACCAATTTTCTTCTCTAATTCCATGCTCCTATTCAGTTATGGATATGGAAACCATGTGAACAAGTATGATGGCATTATTTGGAAAGTAGAGACACTCTTAGTGTCTACTGCATGAACTTCATGAACTCATTTATATACACTGTGACAATGATTTCAGCTTTTAAGTGAATTTGTTATTTATTGCTTCATTGGTTTTATTTTCCAAATCTAAGTTGTCGAATAGCTAGATTCCATAAAAGTAGTTTGTTGCTATGTTATTTATTAAATGTTTCAATGAAATGCATGACCTGTCAGCATCTTCTCACACTGGGTGTGAAAAGGCTTGTTCAGAACCAACACAGTACACTGAACCCTGCTCTCAGCATGCACCCAGCAACTGTCCGAGCTCTTCCAGTCCTGAGAAGGCATATGGATTTCAGATTTTAAAATCAAGAATCCTACCATGTACAACATGATAACTGCAGTTAATAACTATAATATATCCTTGAAAATTGCCAAGAGAATACGTTTGAAGTGTTCTCACCACACACATACAAAATCATTAGTATGTGAGGTTTACATATGATAATTACCTTGACTTAACCATTCCATAATACGTATATATTTCAAATCCACAATTGGACATGATAAATATGTATAATTTTGAGAATTAAAAATAAATAATAAATATTTTAAACTAATCTTTTCAAATTAAAAGCAAAACACTATATTGAAAACTATCCATTTTCATAATCACACTCTATAAAAGTGTTCAAGTAAATAAAAAACCCAAAATCTGAGAAAAGATTACTCAGCATGATGAAAAATAGTTCATATGCTGGTGATATGATACTTCCACAGACCTCTCCACATCTTTTATATATGAAAATCATTCAGCTACATATCTCACAAATCATGCAAGGGCATATTATTAATCTATCAATATAAAAGGTAATATATTGATGTCAGCATAACAAGGTGATGATAAGGAAAAGATATATTATTATATGCATCACCAATGCTTGTAAGAAACAAAGCCTGTTTAATTCTTGTTCCAAAAACATCCTCAGGAGAAATTATTTCTTCTTGTATGTGAACTGTTGTGTCCTATAGGCTTATTCTTTTATTTATGACTTGCATTTGATCTGGAAATATGAACATTTTTGCTGGAGCAATTGTCTTGGATCCTTTCATTTTTGCTACAGTGTATTATCCCTCTGTTGTTTTGGCCCAAATTGTCCTTCACACAAAAATTACTTAATATAATTTGCACATAATTATTTTATTTTATATAATTTTAATTATAAAATGCTGCCTTTCAAATTGCATTAATTCTGAAATGTAAATATTTAAAATAATTCAAAGTACTACCAAATACTATATAGATTACCTTCAACCTTTACATTTCTCATTGGGACCTCAGATAGAATTAACAAAATAATATCTACCATGCTAAGCTGTAGCTAGTCATTTAGGACGAAAGGATTAAGAAAAACAATGAGGCACTGGGTACATAATATTTGGAGAATTTTGACTAGGAAAATCACTCATGTCTTCCACTATCAACTGACAATGAAATAACTCAGTCTGTACATGATCCAGGGGCAGTGAGTAGTAGTGATACTGGGCTTGATCACAGCACTAGCCTGGCTCCCTCTTCAGGAATATTAGCACCCAGCATTCAAATACAGATGACACCATGTCTGTCTCCCAATCAAATTTCAATGGCTTTCCATTGCCTTCAGCATGATAGCCAAATCCCTTCACTTTACTTCATTGATCTTTTACTAATGGTCATTTGCTTACCTGAATTCTCACCTCCAAACCCTCCTTCTCCATTGCTCCCAACTTCATAACTCCTGTTCATCTTTCCCTTCTTGGCTTATATGCTGTTTCTCCTGTAAGCTCTTTTCCAATCTCTGCAGTCTCCATTAGATTCCCCTTGTGAATTACTATAATTCAGTGCCCAAGAAAGTGCCTATCACATTATAGAGGGCTTTTACACTTCAACTGTGAAATACCTATTTTTTAAATAAAAATCTGTGATGGACTCAAATACAGTATGTGAAACACAAGCATGGAGTTAAATTTGGAGTTGTGTTGAAAAGAGGGTACAGAACCTGAAGCTAATGTGTACAGCCTCCTTATTCCTTTTAAGGTAATTTTGTGATTCTCCAGCATGGTTCAGAAAGTGCAATACTTGAAACTAATTATTTGTCTATATTTTCCATTAGACTATAGGTTCCAGGATGGCAGAAACCATGTATATTTTGTTCAAGATAACTGAGGATCTAGCACAAGATATGGAAGATATTAGGAAAGCAAGAAATAATCCCCAAGTAAGTTACAAAGCAGGAGTCAGTAGCAGATTTCAGGCTAAAGAACTATTTGTGTCACCTTTTGTCTTTGGTGAACAGTTCAAATCAAATGATTTTAAAGGACTATTTCCAAAGGAAAACTTTGGAAGAGATGTTAGACACTAATTCAACACTATTCTGAAATCATCCTGATGTTTTGTGAAAGGTTAATGTAATATCTAAATGACATGGCATATATAAGTTTTCTATGGTAATAAAAATATTTCATTAAGGTATTCAGAAACTGACTTTTTAAGTAATCAGATCATTCAACAAAGAAATTTTTTTTTTTTGGTACCTGGGATCGAACTCGGGTCCTTGCTCTTGCCTACAACAAAGAAAATTTGAGAGTAAGTTCTAGGAGAAAGGTCATGAGCATTATTACTCAGCTTTCAAGGACAAAGAAATATGCACATCCTTCTAGACTCTTACAATAATGAGGCCCTGTGACCACATTGTTCAGAGTCCTGTGTGACAGCATGATTAGTCTTCTTACTGGTCAGAATGAATAACTCTATGGGCTCTACTCCATTGTTAGACAGTTTTACTTTCATTCACTGAAAAGGAAGATCCTGTGAACAAAAATCCTTCATTCAATGACTTTACAATGGCCAGTACTGTAACTCACAACCTAGTAGCATCTTCCACTGCACAACATCCAGACACCTAGTTAAACCCTCCTCTCTAAAAGAATCTCAATTAAATATTATACATCGTGACAAGTCAAAGCTTTTGTCAAATTTTTAAAATGTGTAACCAAGGCTATGGTTTATAAGATTATGAATTATTAACACCCTTAGACTTGAACACAAATTATAAATAGAGAAGAACAGGAGATTCAGGCATTAATCTGATTCTAAACTTTCAGATACTTAAAAATAATTTGTTTATATTGCCCTGTTTTGTTGCCTTCCTTTTAATCTCTAATCTCATCAACAAAGTCAATGGACTGTAATCAGTTATAACAAAATAATGCCATAGTATTTAAGAAATAACCTTGACTGTTTTAAAATCTAAGACAACAGAATTACTAATAATACAGGCCTATTGTAATAGATTGTAACTGACAATTCAGTTAGCCCAATGATGGTAAACCTCTTAGAGTTTTCAATGATGCTAACAGCCTGCTGTGGTGCGCATGCCACAGGTTCATCACCACTGAGTTAGACTCTAAGTAAGGACAGCCTAAAAGAGAGTTGGCTGGATTAAAAGAAACAGCAAATTAAGAGCTAATTCAAGTCATGGAGCTAGTTAAACTTAAAAAGGTAAAAAGCCACAATAACTCAAATAAAAGTTAAAATAAAAATAGATAAGGACTCTTCCTCCCAGGAATAAATATGCTAAATTAGATACAGTCTGCTAAGTTAATTGACAGCTATTCACTAATGTCTGGGCAAGAATAATTTAGAAATGCATAGTCATGGTTTCCAGCTAAGTAACTGATTTTATAAAAATTCTACAAAACCTCCCACACCCTGCTTATCTATGTAAGACCAAAATAAAGAAAGCTCATCAGCAATTCCACTTCTGGAGTCCCCTTTTGGTGGTTATCTACCAAGAGCTATTTTCTTCTTATTTCCAAAAAACACTTTCCTAACCTCCTTTTTTTGTCCATGATTTCATTCTTAGACTTCATAAGAAAGAAGCTCAGATTTATAAAAAAATTAACTGCTTCACTATCACAAGATAATGGTAATAGGTGACTAAAGTATTTTTATATTAACTAAAGAGGACTAAATCCAGAATCATTTATCAGCAACACTTATACTTTCACAAAGCAACAAAAGGACAAGAAAATGAAGAATATGCTTATATTTTAAACCTTTAATCAGGAAGTTCTGTCTAGTTCAATTTTTAAATAAGTAACTGTGTCAATTAATTGCCATCTTTATATTTATTGATCCACAGTGAGCATCATCTAGTTGTCACCACATATTGTCAAAAGCACCAACTGTCTAGGCACTAAAATAAGAATATGTGGCTGCTATTGTTAAATTGAGATTTTTCTTTGTGCTCAGGAATGAGTATCAAAAGTAAATCAATTTATTATAAAAATAAATATGATAAAAGGAAATAGTAATACCTCCATTTATGAATGTTTCTGTTCAGAAACAATTTGATTCTCAAATAAAAGTGTTCAACAAAATTTTGCCTCTATTTACAAACTCCACATTGGGACAAACACAACTACAGCTATCTTCCCTAAAATTGTAAAACAAATTAAGTTTGTGAACTGCGGTTCAACTTTATAAGCATTCAATAAAGTTCTTCAAATTATTATATTTTAATCTTTCTTATTTATAGAAGCTTGACTTCTCCTGGAGAGAGGGTACAAATTCAAGTGTCCTCCTGTTTTGGGCCACTTTTAGCCATTCTGCAAATGGAAGGGGTCTGGAGATATCTATATAGAACAAGAATAGATTGTGATAGTTCTGGCAGGCCTGAAGATGACAGCAGACCAGCCTCCTGTAATGGTGGAAGGAGACTCACTTACAACGCTAATACTATGTATCTCCCTTTCATTTCTTAGCTACTCCACTTATCTGGAACTTAGGCACAAATCAAAAACAAGTTTTCTGTATTCAGCTGGACAGAACCCAACATACCACATACCTTTTTTAACAGGATGACAACCCTTATTGTTCCTTTTTTGACCCCAACATTAGGCAGCAACTAATGGTGTGGGCAGGAACAAATGGATGCTATCCAGTTACAATGATATTTCCATTGTCAGACGATAGTTTCTCCAACCTTTACTCAAGAGTCACAACAAATCTTTAATTGTGATTTTTTTACCATTTGTAATTTGAGAGTCAAATCTTCTAAAGGCCCTACATTCATCTTTGGAAAAATCTCTATTTTATATATTTCCTCCGAGTATATTCTACACTCAAGTCCACCTCAAGCTTATATTGTAGTTATGTCCTGCTCTAGAAACAATTACTGTACCAAAATGCATCATTCCTCCTCTTCTTACTTAAATGGATAAATAATAGATAAAACAGACAGACAGACAGAAACAAATCACCCAGAGAGGACCACTCCTGACTCCTTCATCTATCACGAATACCCACTCTTTGCCTGTTTCAAGTCCAAAAGGTTAAAATCCTGACCAAGAAGTGGTGCAGCCTGCAATTTTCTCCATTCTGGGATGAAGATTATACCATTTTAAATCTGATAGTCAAAATAGCAAGAATACTGTCTTCTTCAATGAGTCATTAGGGAAATTTGGGAAAGAAAACTGAAAATGTTTGAAACCAGAACAATGGTTTAAGTTAGTAAGTTATTACTTTCTGTCAGCTCAACTATTGTCACTAGGATTTTCTAGGTGATAGCTAGACCTTTTCCAAGACCCTTTATTCTTACTCTCTTAACAAAAGTTTCTGGCACTATTTCTCAACCTCTTTTATTATCAGCAATGTCCCCTCCAAGAACCTTTGCAGGCCCTTTTTTTCTAATCATCCTCTTTTGAAATGTCAACATCACAGATACACTATTTTTGAGGAACACAAAGTATTATAATGTTTAATACTTATTTACGTCCTATGGCTCAATCTCATCTCTTTATGGACATCATTTACCCTCTCTGAGAATGCATTTGCATTCAAGAAATATCTGAAAATAAAATAAACTTTATTTTAAAAATAACAATAAAACAAAAAAATACTTCAACAAGCCAGGATCCATGGTTAAAGAAAATTAATTCTTAAAATAATTACTCTTTCTAGGATGGAGGGGGTGAAGGAGGTGAAGGGAGGACTAGGAATGGGGAAAAAATAAGAACCAAGATGCATTATGTGAAGATACAATTCCCAATGAGAAATGTAATTGTGTTGCATACCTAAAATGTACCAATAAAAGAATTTAAAAAAATAATTATCCTTCCTTCCCCTTTTCCCGTGCATCTTTCCTCCTTTCTCTTTTGAATTTGAGTGAACATCTATATGAAGCTTTTATAAAGAAATTAAAGGCACAGGGCCAGGTATTTAGCTCAGTGCTGCTGCCACCTGTCTCATAAGTGCAAGGCCCCAAGTTCGATCCCCAGTACCAAAAGAAAGAAATAAAAGGCATGGTTTAATTAAAAAAAAAAAAGAAATATCTGCCATTTGAAAATTTCTCAAACAACCCATTAAGAGTACTAATTCTTTTTAGTCTCCATAAAAATGATTTTAAAATGTCCACCTTTTTCTCTTTCTCGGTCTTATTTCTAAGAGGAATCTGATAGTAAGGAAAATATCAAACAATTTGAACCAAGCAAAGTATGTGGATATGTATTTTTAGAGTAACTGGAAAACAGCTTTAGCTAAAATATGAAGAAATATAAATTCAGGGTAGTTTCCAATATTCTGATGAAACAAAGCATTTCACATATTAATTAGATGGATGCACAGAGTTTTAACAGAAAACTAAAGTGAAAATATTCCCTTCCAAAAGAAAAAATCTTGTGAGCTCCATGACTTGATTTTAGTGAGACTCTTGGGTTAATAGGCATTGGTTATATACTTTTCGTGGTCTGTCCTTGACTTCTTGTAACTGATACATGTACTTAGGAGACTCAGGATTACAAAATTATGGCTTTGAAGTGATGCATTTTACTCTATGCAATTAACAAGTCTAAAAAAATCAACTAGGAAAATATTTGTCTCTTATGGAAATATTAGAGTAAAGTAAACCATAAAAACTGATCATGAGCCTAAACCTTTTTAATTTTAGTAATTTTTGTGCTTTAAAATAGTTATCAAAAATGCATTACTGGAATATTTTACATAAAACACTTACTGCATTAAACTGACTGTGGCTTCCCACACCACACATCCTACAGCTCCAGAATACTTGAGCACACTGAAATTCAGTCAGTTTGTCTCCAGAAAATACAACAAAGTTGTTTTTGTTTTTTAGATAGGGTCTCACTATGCAGTTCAGGCTCGCTTTGAACTCATGGAAATCCTCTTGCCTCAGCCTCCCAAGTGCTGGGATTGCAGCCTCCCTAATGCTGGGATTACCATGCCTGGCAAAAATTTCTATTTTCTTTTCAAATTCCAAAAATCTTTCAGTGAAAACTAAATTAAAGATACTACACCCCCCCCCCGAAGAAAACTCATTAGGGAATGAGATGGCTCATATGAATTTATCCGGACAATAAAATGTTGCCAGCTCAAACAGTGAAAGCATTAAGATCAGTTTCAATCTTCTTGGGGATGTAGTAGAACTTTAAGCAAGCAGGAGAGAGTGGTATTGCTGTAGGAAAAAACAGAACTTGTAGGTCCGTTCAGGTAGAAAGCAGAGAGCTGAAAATTTCTGGGATCAGCTGCAGCTGGATATTAAAGGCTAAATCAACTTCAGATGTTGGGGGAAGCCCAGAAACTGAATAAACTCAACCTAGAGCCTCTGGAACCCCATGGCCCAGGTGTTCCCCAAATAAATAAAAACCCTAGCATCTGCCAAGGACCTTGTGGAAGACAGCTGTTTCAGGATAACTAATCCTTACAAACAGTTGAAAAGTCTCTGAAAGGAAACTGCTGCAGAAGCCAGGTCCCTCTGTGGTGCAATGGAAAACCCAGAAGTCCTGCTCCTAGACTGTTTCTGAGCCACGCTGAACTCTGGTGAGAAAGTAATTTAAGGAAAAGAAAGGGCAACACCACCTTTTCCTAAAATAAATAATATATGAACGAACTATCACTCTGCTCTATTTTCAACTACGATACTGACATATAATTCCTCCTTTCCCCCACATAAATAAGTATCACCCAGAGCTGGCCACTCTCGAATCCTCCGCCTATCACAAATGCCCGATCTTTACTAGTTTCAAGTTCAAAAGTTTAAAAGTCTGACCAAGGAATTGCACAGCCTCCAACTTCCTCCAACTGTGAGACGAGGCGCCGCCGGGAGATGGGCCACCTGACCCGCATGATTCCCCCGTGCACGCATATCACACCGTCAGTCTCATTCTGGAAGGAGGGGTTCTCCTAGGACTGGGGACAGGCAGAAGTCACCTCCCCAAACAATACATTTAGTCCGAGTTCACGAGAAAGATGGGGGGCGGGGGCTGACTACAACAGAAATGATTTTTTTCAATTAAAAAAAAAGAGCCTCTTACCATCTCGCCTGAGATTGGCATTGCGCAAAGCTCTGATGGATGCGCTCTGCGGAGTCGCAGAAGTGTCCCGACAGATGCAGAAGTTTGAGTAGATTAGAGTGTAGACGAAGATGAACCGGTGCATTTGGGATTAGAGACCTAGGAACAGTGTCGCTCCAAGAAAAAATTCCAGTTTCCACTCCGGGACTGACACTGAGTCGCCCTGCACTCTCGCTGCCTGCGCTCACCCAGCGCAGGCCTGGCAGCTTTACTAATCGCTCAGCTTTCCCCAAACTTCCTGCATGCTGAACTTTATGAGAGCGTTGGGTGCCTCACTTCCTCGTGGTGCTGAGTTGATAAATGGTGACGGGACAAACAACAGGTTTGGGTTTGTTCGCCCCCTCCGGTGGCCAGCTTGCTGCAGCACAAGCTGCAGGGGGGGCGGGCGGCGTCCTGCTCAAATTCGCGGCGCACCCTGCTCAAAGCGGCGGCGAGAACAGTGGCCTGGGCCAGACCTGCTCCTCCACTGAGCATGCCCAGTTTGATAGCCAGGCAGGACTCTCCCCAGGACCCAGGGCTTTGCTGTAGTTAGTGGGCCAGGAAGGGAGCAGGAGACTAGGTGGCCGGAAGTAAACGGGAGAGGGTAGAAGTCCGGAAGTTCTCCAGAAGTGATTAATGCATTCACCTGAAAGCCACAGCTCTGGCCTTGGTGATAGCGGAATTGGGAAGTACTTATTTACAATGACCCAAATCAGATTCTGCAGACTCAAGAATTCATTAGATGTACAATGGAAAAATGCAATAGCAAAGGAGCTGATTCTACCCCCCCACCCCACGCCCCGTCATTGTGGCCACAGTTGAGTCAAGCATAATTTTTCAGAAGGAAAAAGAACCCACACTTCCTGTCCCGCAGAGCTGCAGTCGGGATGGGCCTGTGAAGTGACATATTGTACAAGTGCAACAATAGATCACCAAGAGTGTTTCTCCCCGTATCCTACCCAGATTCTCTTTACAATGGAAAGACCCACAGGCCTTGTGAGCTTGACTCACACTGGACACTCTAGGTAAGCTAAGCGGTGTGAGAACTCTGTGTTCCTTTGTCTTCACAGTTCCTTTCGGAAGAGGTAGGGGCAATTCAGGACTTTGGGTTCTTCTCTTCCCTCAGTGCCCAGATTCTTAGCACTGCAGAGGAGCTGTCTCTAGGCTCCAGAAACTTCTGCACAATGAATCTGTCTCCCCAAGGAAGGCTAGGAAAATATAAACTTGACAGTTATTGTACCATGCATCATTGGCTAGAATGCATCTATTCCTTCGACATACTAAAAAATCAATGTGTTCATCTCTATGGCATTGTGACCTACAACAGTGTTTTACAAAAATGCAGGTTTATGGATCATAAAATAAATTCAATACCATCATTATTTTTAATATAATTAGAATGGAATATAATAGTTTAGAAAGTTCATTGGTGATAGTAATAATATTGTTTCACAAATATGATGGTGTAGACACACACATGCACACACATGGGAACATAAAAGATATTGCTGTAGTATGTGATAGAAAAAGTTGGAAAGCCACTGGAGCAAAGATCTAGTCATATGGTCTCGAAATATAATCAACCTCTGCAAGAGGTGCTAAAGAGAGGCAGAAAATCTGAGTTTGCATTTAATTGTTTACTCATGCAACAAGTATTTATTTTAAGCATTAGCTTTTTCCTTTGTTCCAGGCTCTAATTTAAAAATCTTGAGGATGAAATTATGAACCTCAAAGACAAGTACCTAATTCCTTGTAGTCTATAGTCTAATGAAACTGAATCTATCTATATTAGTACATCTATATTAGTAAGATTATAGAGGCAGAAATAGATGCGCTAAGAGTAAGGGCTAGTGGACATATATATCATTTTTTAAAAAGTAATTAAAATGCTCATTAAATTTCATAGTGAACTTTTGATATTGAGAATATGATATTGAGAATGACAAATGTTTTATGTTATTAGGAAAAGTATCTAAAGCAAAAATTTTCTATCTCAATATTTTAACTCATTTATTAAATTTATAGTATTTATTTAAAGTAGTATTGTCCAAGGTACTAATATTGTGCAATCTCAAGGCATTATGAATTCATGACAACACATATGTTAGCCTACAATAGTAGAAGATATAACAGATAATCAACCTTTATCATCAGTAAATTGCCAAATTCAAGAATAATGCAGGGGCTAGGGATTTAGCTCAGTGGTTCTGCCACCTCCCTTGCAAGCACAAGGTCCAGAGTTTGATCCTCAGTACCGAAAAAAAAAAAAAAAAAAGAAAAGAAAATACAGCAAAACTCTAGGCACTTGATCCTAACCAATTTATAATTATATTATAATTTATTTATGATTTATTCTTACAAATTAGGTCAATTATACCAACAAATGTATTAATGTATGAAGAATAGGTTTTTAATAAAAATAGGAGAGTGAGAATGATCTTGCACTAAAATAAAGATAATATTGTTTCTATTCATTTTTCACTTGTATCTCAAACTCAGTTACCAAAACATTAAACTAGACACTACATTTTAAATTCTTATGAGTCAGTTAGACAAACATGAACCAACAAAATAAAATTAGATTTATAAATATTTATTAACAATTCAGACTAATATAAAACAACTAGTCTGTATTTAGCCATTGTTCAATGGCATTCATACAACTATAAAAAGGTGTATCTATTGTTTAGAAAAATTGAAAAAAGTGATAGTAATTTATAATAGGTCCATGTGTAATAGCATTCCCCCCCCCCAATACTCTGGCAATAAAGATTCCATCAAAGGGTAAGTTAGTATGATATGCCACTATTTTTATCATGTGCTCTTTTCTTATATCACTGGGGTCCAAGAATAGTATTTTCCATTGTGTTTTCAAATATTCTTATCTTCTTTCACTAACATAGAAACCACAGTAGAAAAGGAATGAAAAGTGGCATGACCTTTTCAAAGCTCTCTCATCTCTGTGAGTGGTTCATCCTGGTGTTATTTTTCTTTTAAAACTAAACTTCCACCAATCTTTAACTTGTAATTCATACAGCCCCGTTCTCTTGACAATAGTTGCATTTTATGAAGCTGGCTTTATTCAAAGATAATGTTCCTCTCTTGTTCATCCTATACTCACTAGATTTTAGAAAAATAACAGCACTGTGATAAGACATCCTAATTTCTATCCTACCACTAGACTACTGAGCTTGTTCAATATGGAAACTTTGCAGGGCTTCAATCCTTCTCTATAAAGTGAGAATATTGTACTAGATCACTTTCAAAACTTTTCAAAATTCTGATTTTTTAAATTTTCAAAAATTATGCCTTCCCTAATAATTCTTACTGTGTTCTACATGTGTAGATGTATCTAGCCCCAATATGTTGTAACCAGGAAGTCTGGTTAGCTACAAGAATAAAAGATTTCTACAAATTTTAATAAACTTATATTTTGAAATTTCCATAACATATACTATACTAAAGTGGAAAGTGGTAGTTCAAATGTTGGGTTGCCATCTAGTATTAGTAGTTACTTTTACTTTCAAATTTTTGTTTTCTTTTAAATAAATCAGTTGTTCAATTGTATAAAACTATAGAAAAGGAGGGTATGTCTTACTTGCAGAAATAGTTAAATAGATGAAATATAGTTGGTTAAAATTATGATGTAAATTTAGAAAAAAAGACAAAATTAACTGATGCTTAAGACAATAGTGAAATGATTTTGATCAGTGATTTTACTCAGAAGCATTGTATTAAATTTTACTTAGTTTTGAAATTAAAGAAAGTGTATCAATATTCTGTTGTCAAAGAATGAAATTGAATATTCATAAGGTAATAGACTGTGGAAAATGAATATTTTCAAATGAATTGAATGTCCTACAATATTAGCAAAGTTATGGGCTATTTAGTATTAAGCATTTGCAAAATACATTATTAACTTATGCTGTCTCATTGATAAATATCACACCTTTTTATAATGCATACAATGGTTTTCTCTTAACAATTAAAGTTATCTTTTGTTAAAGTTTTTATATTTGTAATTGAATTTTTTTGCAACTTTATTCCCATTATTATTAACAGTGAAATAAGTTGTGCAAAGACTTTAATCATCTTTTTAAAAAAGGAATTGAGTTCTCTGTATATTACCTTTCTTCTATGTGCCATGGTATTGACTTCCTTCTAGTTAGATATTTATCTTTAAAACTGTAATTACAATGACATGTACTAAATGTTTACCATAAAAATTCAAGGCAATTACAGTGATGTTTTTTCTGCTTTATAGACTTAAATGCAGACTGATTTGTATTTGTGGGTCCTAACTTAAATCATACTATATATCAATATAATCATGAAAACAGGTGTTCTCAACTCATTCTACCCACTATTGGTCATATTGTATATATACATTATGTCTGTATAACACCCCATATATTGCTTAGAATCCTACATAGCATTGTCACATACAATTTATATAGTGCTGACACATTTTGAGCAGTAGCTTTCACATTTGATCATTTGGAATTGGTTATAGTTCATACTATCAGCTTGACATTTTGCAAGCAATAGGTGCAATCAGCCAACTAGGTAGTGTATTCAGTCAAGTGCTAGTTTTCCCTTATTGGATTAAATTAACCAGTAATTCAACTTTATAGAATTAGCCACTGAGTTATTAGTTGTAAAAGAATCCCCATATCTATATTTTCTTCGCTCGTTCTATTTATTTCCATTTATCCATTCCTGAGTTGCATTATCTAAATTTGAGATTTCAAAAATGAATATCTTGCCTATTCTGCAGGATTTCTTTCTTAATTGATCTGGGATATATTCCAGGCTTCTTTAGAAATATGCACTTTCATCTTTATAAGATGGGCTTACATCCAGTTACTTTCACATTTCAAGTTTGTTCTTACCTTGTCATTTTTTTAAAGAAGAAATTGATTGATATGTGGGTCTTTAAGTGTTCCTTTTCTTGAATGAAACTTTTAATTCTATAAAGAAAATCTTTTCTTGTATTTATGCCTCTTGGAATTCTATATTACACATATTCTCTTTTTTTATTCAAGCAAATATTGAATTTATTAGCAAGACAATATGAAAATTTGAGTGGTATTCTTTTTTTCTCTCTAAATAATTTAAATCATCTGACATTAATTCACCTCTATCAAGGAGTAGCCTTTGAAAGTGAGATTTGGTTCATCTTTTGTGTTCTAAAATCTTTGTTATCTCTTCTGACTTCTTTCTTTGCACTTTAACAGAAAACAAATGGAATTCTGGACGAGAAATAAGAATTGAAAGTTCCTCCTTACTTATGAGTAATACAGTGAACCCTTAATAAGTTAATTTATGATGGAAGTAAGTTACATCCTTAGATTTTGGCCCTTATTCTGCTCATATTTTTTGCTTTTGGAAAATAAGCAATTTTCCCCCCAAGTAAAGAGCAGAAAAGTCCCTCATTTGAAAATTTTAAACTTCCATCAAAGTGAGCAAGGCTACACACTATAAACTTGTCACATTAATATAATCTTATTTTTTTCAGTGAAATATACTGATTGACTAAAGAATTTTAATTGATTCTCAAGTAGTATCTCTGAAAGC